ATGAATGTATAACAACTATGTATTAATTATTAATTTTAACAAATTAATATTAACAAATATTGTAAAATTTCCTATTTTTAATCCTAATCGTTTTCATAAACTTGCTCAGATTTTTTTAGGTTGGAGATTGTCCATTGTCACTAGAGAGTTAAAGTGCAGGGCAAAACGTTAACGTTAACGTATAATTTGACAGCTACTCGTGCGCAGTAGAGGAATACATACGTTTGCGTTAACGGGTCTCCGTATCCGTAACCTTGCGTGCGTTTACGGATTCCCTTAACGCTAACGTTATCCAAATTGTTCCGATGGTTCCGAGTATTAGCGAATTTCTATCAAATCTCCGAAAATTAAAAACTTTTTGTTGTTTTGTGATTTTAACCAAAGATTCATCTTTTGTTTGTATTATTGTAATCTAAAAATAGTGAAAAAAAATCGAAAAAAAATGACGGATATCAATTTTCCAATAAGTTATTACCAAATACATGTAGGAGTACAGCATCGTACATGTCATCATCCTCGAAATCAGATTCCCCACACATTTCAAATATTAAAGATATCTTCCATTCTGCTGTAAAAACAATCAAAATATTTCATAAAAAACTAACCAAACCAGGAAAAAATATAAAAGGACCCTGTCTAATCATTCAAATTTGTAATTAATCCACAACAAATTTGAGTAAAAGTAAGGTTAGAAACACACGTTAGACGTTAACGTTTTACACTTCACAGCTAAAACGTATAGTGTCATAGATAAAATTTATAGATTGGTAACAGGCATTGAGTTTCCACTAACTCAATGGCAGTGTTCCCAAACGTAAAAAAATAAAATCGGTAGAATTCTTTTAAAAAATCGGTACATTGTGGAGTAAAATCGGTAGATCTTTCAAAATATAATATTTTGTTTAAATTTCATAATGTTTTACAATTCGTTTAATTAAGAAAAAAATAAAATTTGTTTATTCATTTAAATCTAATAAAATAAAAAAATGAGAACCGAGATACTGAACTTAAAACGAGAAGGTTGGCACTACTGGCACATTGGCACTTGGCTGGCAGTAACATTTAACAGTAACGAAGCGGGAAATACAAGGCTTCTCCAAAACAATCAACAATAAAAAACTGTTGTAATAAGTAACAGAAAATATTAGATCTTAAACAAATCAGACACTTATTCCTCTAAAACAGTCAACACTTATTAAGAAAAAAATATATAAATATAAACTTAAACTGATTAAAATCTAAACTCTTAACGAATTAATTCCTATAAAGATGGATTATAACTGACTGAAATTTAAATCTTTAAATGAGTCTGTGACTAGGAATCGAATACTTATCCGAGAACCGAAATCTAGAGTATAAAATCCTTTTATAATTTGTAAAGTACCGCTTAGGTACCATTTAAGAATAAATATTTGAATGTTTTCACACGTTTTAGTGAATACACAAAAATGCTCAATGCAAATTACAGGTATCGCAAGAAAAATTGTTTTGTCTCTTACATATTTCTTCTCAAATTTAAGAATAAGTAAAAATTTCTATCTGAATATAAAATTCGGTACAATTTAAGCCTTTTTCGGTACATCGGTAGAAAAACGGCGAAATCGGTACATCTACCGATTTATCGGTAGGTTTGGGAACACTGCTCAATGGTAACAGGGATAAGCAATGTCAAATCACGTTTGGATTTAGGCGCCCATTCGTTTGGTGGCGCTGCTAGTCTCGTTTCTACGCGTAGGGAGTGTGCTGTGGTCAAATCAAAAGTTGAATTTAGCAAATACCGTTTTTCAAGTCCAGGAGATTATAATATGGATATGTTTGATAAATGGGTGAATGCTGTTAAAAGCCCTAATTAGAGAATGCTGCAACAGAAACTATTTATAACAATTTTCGTGTATGCGCTAGTCATTTTAAAGAGGATGATATAATTAATGTTAGACATACCGGTATTACGAGAACAGCCCTTCTGAGTTTGTTTTTACCAGCACCAGGTAAGAACTATTATGCCAATATATGTATGTATGTGACCTTTTACTTATAAAATTAGTTAATTATAAATTTAACCTAATTATAAAATCAGACTTACTTGCTTACTATTTGAATTATTTTGTAGGTGGTGGTTCAACAACTATCTTAAAAAATCATCACCTTAGAGAGGGTTCGACATAATTTCTACAGGTGTGCCTGTTTCAAAGTTGGATTAGATTAGCAGACCATGACTACACTATTATATGGAGAGGTCCATGAGCTTGCCGTTAAGTGCGAGGAGGGATCTGTCTCTCTCTTGTGAGTGAGATTGGTCTTAGAGTACCATATATTATCATGGTTTGTCTCATCTATGTACTTTTAATCAAAAGAACAACCTAAATCTAAATGTATTTAATATGTCTCTCAATAAATATATAAATATTAGTAGAAAAGAGTTACTGGTAAGATAGAGTTTGGAAACGTAACTTTGTAAAATACTTCATATTATTATTGTAACTAGGTAATACTTTACATATTTTTTTATTTTTAATGTTATTTTTCCATCTTTATAGTGCTGGATCTTAGAATCTTAGAGCTAACTGTTGGGTTTATAGGTTTAAATATGACTAAAATATTATCATATAATATATTATCATGTAAAGTTCTTTCTAGAACTAAATCATTTAATTTTTCTGTTTCCAACTTAGCAGAGTTCTTGAGTTCTGTTTTTCTGTGAGTAGAACGCCAGACAGTAAGAGTTCTCACTGACCACTGGTAGTGTGTGTTATTAGATTAGGATGTAAGTACTACAAAGAACTCAGAATGTCTGACAGCTGTCTGTTGCTTATTAGGCTTTAATTTGACATTAGAATTCCAAAAAAATTATTTAATTACTGACAAGTTCTTGTCACAAGATTTAGAACACTAAATTATACTACATTTACCCTTCCCTATTTGTGAACAAAATATTGCAACTATCTTGGTTTATTTTTAGCTCCAGCTGATTTACAGCTAGATTGAAAATCTGAATTTTCCAATCTTGGTTCATAATTATCATCAGGTTTTTGAACAGGTAAATTTTCTGTCACATCTGGCATTGATTTAGTAGTGGAATTCTCTAATGTGTTATTTGGACTTCATCTTCATCATTATCGTGATTCAATAATATAACAATTCAATAGTAAACTTCTTATATAGTACAGAGCTCCTGGTAAAGCAGTTTTTCATTTAGTGATGTCTAAATATTTGGTTTCCAATGCTAGATTCACCAATTTCTATATAACTCATTGTATCTTTCAACTTAACCATTTCCTTCATGGTTATATGGTGTTGTTCTACTTGAAATATTCCTTTAGAGTGGAGATAATTAATAAATTCTTGTGAAGTAAAGCTAGTTCTCCTTGTCAGATTTTATATATGCCAGAATTCTATATAAACAAAATAGTGATTTAATCTGTGATTGGTTTGAATTGCTTTCCTAACAGATAATGTCTGCATTTTTTTAATACTTCAATGCATTTGCATGTTTTCATTCTGAATCTGTGAGAGTATGTGTGAAAAAAGCAATTGGTTTTCCCCATTGATTGCTTCGCTTATGTAATTATAGACTAAATTTATTACAAGCATGTACTTATTTTGTCTTCTAGGGATTTATCTTTAGATTCATTGCTTTCTAAAAATATCTTGAATGTTATATACCAATGTTTGAATTCTTTGCAAATTTTGAGTATAAAATTGTAGTAAAAGGCCTTTTGCAGAATTAGGCTTCTGTTTACATAAAACTTGACATACTAAGACAAAACAATTATTTAAATACTGACCAGTTCTTGCCACAACATTAAGAAAACTAAATTATAGTACACTTGGCTTGTATTATTAATATTTCTTGTAACACATATAACATTTCTTGTAATATTTTTATAAATAAAGATTTTATTCTATATTTTATTCTTTAATTTTTTGACCACTTTGCCATTTTAATGTAATGTAAAATAAATATAGTCTCAACATAACAAGAAAACCCAAAAAGTATACGAAAAATATTTATTATCGTATAGGATAAGGATTTTTCTTGTTATTTTAAGATTATATCGATTTTCCTTTACTTTAAAATGAGTTCACAATCCTAGGTAATATTACAAAAATTTTGAATTTCGCGCCATGTATTTATAGTTAGGCGCCCGGTCACTAGGTGATGCGCCAATCATTGTTTTACTCGTCAACACGGAAGTTTCAATGCTAGGTGGTAGTGTGCTATGTATAGTGTCCGTAAACGTAATATCTTTATATTATACGTTATTGATCTTTACGTTTACGTAGTGTTAACGTTTACGTGTCACCTGCACTTTAATGCTTTAACTCTCTACTTTCTCACTTTTGATGTCATTTCAAAGATTGCACATGCGCAGTTGACGGATCGGGTCCCTGTAATCGCTCCTCTTTTTTGGTCCCCTTTTCATAACGATTAGATTCCCTCTTTTGTCTGTTTGCTCGATGATCCTACCTCTCGTTATGTTCTGTGGCACAGCACATAACCACTGAATAAATCTTCTTCTTTTTCAGCCTTCATTTATCCATTGTTGGACATAGGCCTCTTCCAATTGCTTCCACGCTTCCCTATCTTTTGCAATTCTCATCCACTGTTTTCGCGCTACAGATGTTATAAATAACAATTATTTATTATATTATTCTGTGACTTAACCCTTTATGACTATTCTATGGTGCTGTGATTCCGACATCCGACAATCTGACATGTTCATCATAACTTGATCATAAAACGCACATTGCTGCACATGCTCAGAAAGATAGCGGTAACGTAGCCGCGTAGCGCCATTTTAGTAGTAGCTCCTAGATTGAGTCTATACTTCCGTAAAATTTTTTAGAGTTTTTAGCATTCTTAATAATATATTTCCGACATCTGCAGGTTTATATAGCGGGTTTGAAAATCTTAAAGAGAGTATGAATATAAACGTGCTTCGATATTAGCGCTTCGCGTGTATTTTGCCGGTGTATTGTGTTCAACGTCACCATCAACCATGATGCAAGCAAACAATCGAGTCCCACCTATAAAGTTGGAAAACGATATAGATCTTTACGCCGATGATATCGAGGATTTCGCACAAGTAAGATATTATAAACTACTAATAATTGAGGTACAATTTTATTAGCTAACCTACTGCAATAAATTGAGTATAAAATGATTATTGATTTTTTATCTGTCGTCCATATTTATATTTTCAAGCGTCGTAGAAATTAATTATTTCTCAGTTAAGTTCATAGAATCTTAGAGAAATGAATAGAACCTACAGAAAAACAGGGCTGCTATTGCGTTTATTGTTTATTAACATAGAGAATTATTAATTCAAAGTAGCTTAGTTTCAACACAAAATAACAAAATATTGAGTCCATATCAAGAAGTTATTAGAAAGGTTGTTATAGAATAACAACTGTTAAATTTCCGTAAATGCCCTCCTAATTTATATTGAATATATTGTAATCTATGAACATTACTGAAAGGCACTATTGTATACAATAAAATCACTTAGTTTTATTCAATGTTTTAAGGTCCATTTAGTTACAACACAAACATTTGAAGACACTTGTTTTCAGTTAGCTAATACCATTATTAGAATCTTGTCTTTGAACTAGAGTACAGTTGAAAAAAAACTCCAATGAAAGTCTTCTGTTTCTAAACCTGACAAAAAAAACCATGGCTAAACACACATGTGGGAATAAGTGTATTGTGATAGATTATTTTAAAAATTATTTTTTATTGAAATACAAACAATATACATTTAATAATTTAAAAAAATTTGTTGGCAATTCAGGTAAGTAAGTTATCTTGAAACAGCAATAAATAGGCACCCTTTTTACGTAATATACATTCATAAACACTTATTACTTTGCTCATCGACTTATATGCATACTATTTTAGAATATAATAATAATCTAAATGCAGGAATTAAACATAAATACTAGATAATAATGTAAAATAAAAACTGATCAATAAATTCTGTATTATATTTAACAAATTTTGCACAATTTTTAACGAAAAAAATAAGTTTTCTTAAATTTTAAAGAACTGAAATTCTTCTTATTACTCTTTATAAGCAATTCTGCTTGTTCATTGGCGGACTAATACCTCTATATAATATTTCTCCTATGGAGAAAGATAAACTAACGCCCTACGGGCGTAAACAGGTCATCTCATGGTCCAGGAAGAGAACCTAACCTAACCTAATTTAACGCAACCTGAGCTAACCCATACTAACCTAAACTAACCCAACCCAACCTAACCAAACCTAAATAAAAAACTAATTAACATAAAATATATTAGTGGGTATACTGCTCCTATAAAGCAGGGCTAATCAACGCCCTACGGGAGTTACTAGGATATATAGCTGCTCATGAAGGAGGAAAATTTACATAACTAATTAACTATAAATCAATCTAACCTAAGCTAATCTAATTCAAACTAATCTAAAAAAACATACCATACTATACTTTGATATATATATATATATATATATATATATATATATATATATATATATATATATATATATATATTTAAATCATGAATGTGTTGCTTGTGTGAGTCCATTTCAAATAGGTAAAGAAATAATAAATAAGACTTACTCACAATCAATTTAATTTAACTATCAGACGACCGGTTTCGCTTTCTACATTATGCAAAGCATCTTTAGGTCTCGATACAAAGTTAAACAAATGATGCCGGTACTCTATTCATAGATGGACGGTAGAACATGTTTGAAACTACTTTATATTGTTGAATGGAGAACTCAATACTATTATTGCAGTTGTTTGACAGTAAACGGGAAGTTCTTCAGGAGATAGATTTGATCCAATGAATTTGAGATATGTGTGAGATTGTTTGTTAAATGTAAGTGGTGTAATATACTATTGTGTTATTTAACTATAACACACTATATATACTATATATAACTATATACTATAACAATATAGTATATTACACCACTTACATTTAACAAACAATCTCACACATATCTCAAATTTATTGGATCAAATCTATCTCCTCAAGAACTTCCCGTTTACTGTCAAACAACTGCAATAATAGTATTGAGTTCTCCATTCAACAATATAAAGTAGTTTCAAACATGTTCTACCATCCATCTATTAATAGAGTACCGGCATCATTTGTTTAACTTTGTATCGAGACCTGAAGATGCTTTGCATATTGTAGAAAGCGAAACCGGTCGTCTGATAGTTAAATTAAATTGATTGTGAGTAAGTCTTATTTATTATTTCTTTACCTATATATATATATATATATATATATATATATATATATATATATATATATATATATATATTTATAATATGTATCTCTTTGTATATATATATATAGATATAAACTAGTTATACCTCTGTCTAATGCAATCTACTATGTTCTTAAACCTTTCATGAGTATTGTGTCCATATAATGCATCCCACATAAATTGGTCGATGTGTTCCGGTAGAAATGGAGAGCTCATCACTCCAAGTCGTCTTAGGTATTGTTTAAGACGAGACCAATACCCTTCTACTTGATTTGTACAGACCCCTGTTAGTAGATCTTTAAAAAATTTAGTGTAATTCACAGTTTTGTGAATGTACCCTAAATTTTTTAAGTTGGAATATCCCTTCCATTGGTCTGTCCATATTTCACTACCTTCCCGGATGTGTTTTTTAATAATCTCCACTAATACCTCTCCTTTCCTACTTTCTAAATATGTTATGTACCCCCTTTTTAAAACTATATCGTACATTCCCAAAACCCATTGTTCTTTAATTATTCTACCACGATTATATTTTCTTTTTCTTACAACACTTTCAATTTCAACAATTTGAACTGTGTGTCCTTCTCCACCTGCAATAATAAGAATGTGAAAAGTAACTAAATGTTAATATTTTTTATTGTTATTTTACCTAATAAAAATGGTTCTTCCTCTTGTAAAAGTTTCCAAGAAACCAGATCTCGCAAATACTGATATATCTGTATAACAGATCGTTTTACTAAATTCATTATTTCTGCGTCACTTTTAAGTGGCGTCTGACTTGCCCAAAACCACATTACATAAAATAGAGTTTTGAGTGGTACTCTCAATCCTTCAAAAAATGTACCTGTACGTACACAATACATTTTTTTGCATCTACTGCACCAAAAACCATGGTTTAATTTAAACCAATTTTTCTGTCTCACTACACATAGACGTCGACATTGTCTAACTTTGCATTTAAATTGTTCTTTAAGTAATTCAATATTTTGCACATATTGAATTAATTCAATATCGCTTTTTTGTGTTATATTATTTATATCAATTATAGAATTCACTTCCATTTTTCAGAAATATAAGCAAAACATAAATTTGTTTTGACAATTTATAAATTTCATCCAGAGATATTTTAATTTGTTTAAATACATATCATTTAAAATATTTAAAACTGGAACAAACCTATCACAAAAATTGGCAACCTCGCGCAGTCGCTGTCAAACTTCAATGCAAAAAATCATAATAAATCAAACAGGTTATATGAGCAAAATTATTATTTTGGTGAATATCAACCACTATTTCATTACAATCCAATGTTCTAATAAAAATTACTAAATATTACACACTAATATGATATAATTAAAAGGTTAGTAGTAATATATAAGTTTGTTTTATAAAAATATGTCTCAAATAAGCATGGATAATAAGTGTACTGGCACCCGTAAAAAGAAGTATTACCTTCAAAAAATATATCATAAAATTTAAATTATAGAGAATACTCATGATACTATACATTTTTATAGATTTGGAAACGTCGCAATTAACTCTCAATATGGCCGCCCAAAAAGTGTGAAATTTTCAATTTTCAAAGTCGTTTTTTATTTAAACAAATGGAAATACCGCAAATTTTATTTTTTGAAATAGCTTAAAATAATGTATATTTTCAAGATTTACAAAATTTTTTTCCGAAAGCGCGTGGAGGATAAATGTACCGTAACCCACCTATGCATATAATTTAAATAAGACCCTACAACTTTCTCAAAATATTTTTGACATCTTATAAAGTATTAACTTTGTTAACTTATTCGGTTGTTAATTATAGTAGTATATTTAGATTTGCAATATTTTAGTTTATCACTTTTTCAAGTAATTAAAGGTAAGTTTTTTTTCATTTTGTGAGAAAAATCGCCATTGTAATGTACAGTTTTTTACATCATCATAAAGCAGAGATTTCAACTAACAAAAAGACCATCAACATTTTAAAAAAGCAGGTATTTTGTCATGAGAAGTTTTGATTGAAAATTAGGTTGCTTTTCGTTATTAAATCAAAATAAGAAAATAGATATTTTCATCATCAGTTGGCGCTACAGCCCTTTGTGAGCCTTGGCCTGCTTCAAAACATTCTTCCATCCTTCCCTATCAAGTGTCTGTCTTCTCCAGCTCCTCACTCCAATCTCCCTCAGATCTTCCTGTACATCGTCCAGATATCTGAGTTTAGGCCGCCCCCTTCTTCTTCTTCCGACCGGCCTGTTTAGCATAGTTATTTTAGTTGGATCACTCTTATCCATCCGCATAATGTGGCCCACCCACCTTAGATGGTTTATCTTGATGGTCTTCACAATATCTGCATCACCTAAAAGTCTATAGAGTTCATATAGATATTTTAAATAAAAAAAAATATAGTTTGTTTGGGAACAGGTAAGTTTTCACTGAATTTGGTGAAATAATTTTATAAACTGTTTTTTACCCTTAAAAACTCGCTCCCTACCACATTCCAACCTTAGATCACCCATAAATTTTTTTCTTTTATGTTTGTTATACTAGCTTCTCTTTCCAATAGGTTCCATCCTGTTACTATTTTTTTTACTGTTGAGCATTTTCAAAGACTTCTACCCTGATCTTTTCTTTGCCTTTAACTATTTCTCTTCACCTAGGATACAAGGCTCTCCACCAAAACCAAGTCACAACTTATTTGGTTTGGCATGTCTCTTGTATCAGGGCAAAATTAAACCTAATAGCAGTAGTAAGTTCTTCTGAAGCCGGCTTACTCACATGAATGATCCTGATTAATGTCATTATCACCTATTTGGGACAGATATGGAATCCATGACTATGTCTCTCTGCTGGTCTCCTCCTACATTTTTATTTATGGATTCAGAAAAGTCACTTAAAGATGCTTATTGAATTTGGAATCTGCGGTTCTTCTTTTTCAAGTAAACTTAACCACTTCTTTTTCATGGAGGAAAAGTCATTAATCTATAAACTGTACACTGGTTGGTTGGAATAGGTTAAAATTCTATTGAATTTGTATCTATTCTTTGTTTCTAGTTAAGAAAATAACATTACGCTTATGGAGATCAGTGTTGCCAAAACTCTCAGACACTCTCTTTTGCACGGATGTCCAAGATATTCCCTTTGCTTAATTTTTGAATTTTCATTTTCAATTAACATTTAACTGTAAAGTCAGAATAACTACTAAATAAAAGCCTTATTATCATTATGTAGTCAGAGAAGGACATAAAATCGCTGACATACATACACACATCGTTTTATTTTAAATTGCAATTTGTAATTAGATATACGCATTCCAAGCGGTCCGTTTATTTGCTTTTAAAACTTTAATATTCGGCAAAATGCATGATTTAGCTAAGCAATATTTTCTACTGATTTCTATGATTCATGGCATATGGTATTCTGACCGAAAAAACAAATAAACTAAATAAGATAAAATAAAATTATCTTCTGTAAATACTATTTATCTAATTAAAATCATTTTCCCTACTTTTCATCTCTTGTTTCGAATGGGCACTTTTGGTCAATTACGTTAAAAAACATTAATTTAATTTGTGTCTGTGGAAACGAAAATACAAATTATACAACCCTAAATTGTGCTTGTGTGTCGTGGCAACGCCGCGTTTCTATCGTCCATAAGAAATACATGGACCTATCTCCGCAATGTTATTTTCTTAACGTGGAACATAGTATAGCAGTTCATATTCTCAGAACATAGATAGCTTGGAAAAATATCAAATTAGCTCTGACAAGCGTATCATATGAAATACTAGGACGCAAAAAGAAAACAACAAAAAAATGGTTCAATAATGATTGCCTGAACTCCATAACAGCAAGAAATATGGTTAGAAGGAACATGCTACAAAACCCCTCGCACAACTACAATGAAATGTATAGACAAAGAAGAACAGAGACAAGAAAACTAATGACAAGGAAGAAGAGGGAGTATCAGGAACAAATAATCAGAGATATAGAAGAAAAAAGAAAGAACAAACAAGCAAAACAGTTTTTCAAAGGAGTCTCAGATATCAAGACAGGGTACCAAGAGAGAACAGGAAACTTCCTTCAAAACGACAGCAGACAGCTTATCACTGATGACAAGGAAATACTAAAAACCTGGAAGGAATACTTCTATCAACTATTGAACCACTAATCTAGCAGAAATACATCAAACATAAAGGTACATACAGCTGAAATAAAAGACCAATACCCGACACACAAAGAAGTAATACAGGCAATTAAAAAACTTAAAAAAAATAATAAGACACCAAGTAGCAATGGTATACCCGCAGAGTGCTTAAAACATGGAGAAGCATTGTACAGTTCTATATACAAGCTAATTAAAGACATTTGACAAGAAACAATGCCAGGTGAATGGAAAGAAGGGGTTGTTGTACCCAAAAAAGAAAACAAAAAGCAATGTATTAACTACCAGGGAATAACACTCCTAAACACCACCTACAAAATCCTTGCAAACATCCTGCTAGAAAGAACCAAAACATACACAGAAGAAATCGTTGGAGATTATCAATGCGGATTTAGACCAGGCCTCTCTACTATTGACCAGATGTTCATAGATTTTAAACAAGCATTTGATAGAGTATGCAGGGCCAGACTGCGATGTAGGAACTTGGCTTTTCAAAAAAATTAGTCAGGTTGATATCGACATGTATGGAACAGTTACCATTTAAGGTGTTGGACAACAATACTTGGAGACATTTGAAATAAACAATGGACTAACACAGGGAGATCCACTTTCACCACAACTCTTCAACTTAACTCTGGAGCACATAATCAGATCTGGAGCACATAATCAGAAGTGCAAGAATCGAAAACTTTCTACAGTATTTCATCGAGAAAGGCCAAACTTCAACAAACAAAATCATGGTAAAACCTGTTACTGATATACAAAAACAATTTTTTTATGGACAAATCTGTAACACTTCATACATAATTATTTAATATGATATGGTGATCAGTATTCCATAAAGTTCTTGTTATTTCTTTTATTATGAGAGATATTTTTAGTTCTGAAAACATTGTAACATTAAAGGCTGATTTATAAACTTTACGTTGGCGTTGGCGTTCGCCGTTGACCTTGGCGCTAGCTATCATACATTGCATTTATAAACTTTCGGTTGGCGTTGGCGTTAAAGATCACATCTTAATTTCTTGCCTTACAATTTTTGATTTGGTATTATTAATTTTTGCTTGAAAATTAATAAAATGAAAAATGCTTGGCCTTTGTTAGGTGCAGTGACACTGATACTTTGTATTTGAGCAGCACTGAGCCTTCGAAATAAAAGACAACGTCGATACAAACGGAGGCCCATTAACTAGAACCGAAGGACAAGAGGTAATTTTAATTATTATAAAAATATGAAAAACTGAGATACCCAGCAGTTTTTTAAATACACCAGAATACAGTTTCCAGCATTTGAAAAATTACTGCAAATGGTAAAACCAAAAATAAATGTAAACTATCGCTCTGATGGAATTTCTGTTAAAGAGAGACTTGTTATTATCTTAACTTTTTCACTTTATAAACACGTGGAAACATAAACAAATAAATTTGTTTGACAAACCTTGTCACTTTTTCGATATTGCTATTGGCTGCGATGACAAAGATACAGTTTTATTTTATGTTCTGAGATCGTGACTACAACCACAAAAGGGTTTGTGTATTCTGTGCTACAACGGCCAACGGCAAAAAATAAAGTTGGTTCATCTTGAACGGAACCGAACGCCGACGCCAACGGCGAACGATGTTTATAAATAGACATACGAGTTATCCATTTGACCATGTTGTAACGCGAACGTCAGCTCCAACGCCAACGTAAAGTTTATAAATCAGCCTTTATTTTTATGGTCATACTTCTACTTACTTTCATTTTTGATTTAGGATGACTTTGGTGGTGAAAATGTTGATCTTTATGACGATGTAATATCAGCTCCTCCTGGAAATAGTGACAACCCAGGTGATTCAAATCATCATGCTCCTCCTGGTGCTGGTGAAGATGGTGGAGGTAATTTTGTTGGGACAGGAGGAGCATCCAATAATATAAATTCTTCTGGAAGAAGACATCAACTGTATGTTGGAAATCTGACTTGGGTAAGTTATATTATATTATACAATTTGTTACTATCAGTAATATATAGAGACTGGTTGCAGAACTGGTTTGCAAAACAGAAAAATTGACTGGTTTTACTACTTTAAATTAACTTTACTTTGAATTATAAACTAAACATCTTAGGCATATAACTGGTTCTGTCAGAAATATTGATACAAGCTATTTAAAAAAAAAAAAAAAATTAAACTACTGGTTTGATTTAAAACATTCTTACACAATTAATTACTGATATAATGAGCTTCAAATTACAAAAAAATTATTAAAAATGGCTGTTCCCTACCAAACCATCACTGAGGCAGGACAGTCTCCTCAATCCTTGGTTCCAGTTTGTGAGCTTCCTTGGTTTACTGTGCTTAAAATCTATTGTTTTGCTTATTTAAAGTCGCCTTCACAGTAAAAGAAATTCTTTGCTACACTCTTTACTACAGGAAAACATCTTAATATTCTGTTAAAAGAAAACAGGAAAAAAATCAAGGTATTTGTTGCAGTTATATGATAGTGTTAAAATGTCTTTACTGTACAATCTAGTGATGAGAAGGTCATGAATGAACCATTCACAAAGATCTGATCTTTTTGAAGACCCGTGATTGATACAATCACATTTTGTGACCTTACCGTTCAAATGACCCTCTGAATCATATCTATGCATGACACTGTCTAGTGTTTACAAAAGAACTGTGTGATCGCGACACATTGTTAGGTCAAATTAATATATGAACCGCGAACCGCAAAGGATCATTCAAATGCTGATTTCAGTTTCCCAGAATGGCGAAACTCTTATGCTGCAAAATTGTAAAATTATATACATTCGAATTGTCGAGCAATAGTCTCATAGTCTGTTCTGTTTATAAATTGGTAGGAAATAAAATCCATATTAATTGTCACATTATCCTTCATTCATGAACATAACAAATATGAAATGTAATTTCACTTAACTTTTTCAAGTATTTTTTTTATATTTCAATGATTTCTAAAGATGATTTAAGAAATAGAAATCTTAATGTCAGCCTTTAACTATATTTAATTCTTAAATTTATAGTAACAATATTGAATTCTACACGTAAACAGCAATATAATTAAAGTTGTTCTAATGAAGGCATCTCTATGAATGGATCCTGCATTATCATTAATTCATACACTCTCAGAAGAAAGATTCATAAACATATCAATATTAAATTTTACATAGTTGTAAGTCATTGACCTGGGTCACTGTCCAATGGTAAGGCATTGTCCTGGTTGTTGTTTAAAAGTCATAAGTTTTGTTTGGTAATGTGACACATGGTTCTCAGTGCAATATTCATTTTCTGAGCCATGATTTTTTTTTAGGACATGATGTTAAGAATCTGTGATATATGATCCATGAGAGGCTGGCTGAAGCCACTTCCTTCTCTTGTATTCAAAACAACTTAACATGATTCACAAAATCATGAGTAATCAATTTAGTAATTCAAAATTAAGGGCTCCTTCTATTCCGCACTTATGAAGAGCAATGATAGTAATATCATTCTCTTTGTTTTTAGGTTAGGTCATATATATATATATATATATATATATATATATATATATATATATATATATATATACAGTATAAACACACCAAAATATTCCAGTTTAGTCTGAGCCATTGCAATGGAAGGGAAAAACAAAGAGAATGATATGTCCCGTGAAATTTCTATTGAACTATAATATATTGCGTTCTGCACATACGATGACCTCAATATAACAATTGGGGTCATCCTGAAGGAGGAGAAAATGTATTATGTTCAATCTAGAACTCGCTGGTGTCCACCTTTCGGATTGGGTGTGTATATTCAAATAAAAAAAAAAAAAAATGAAAGCCAGCAAACTGTATAAAACTCATATTTTAAAAAGAGGTTAAATTAAACATAAATACACATTACCAAATACAATTATAACTCAAGAAGAATATACACAAGCTTAAATATTAGTTGATATGAAACGACACCAAAAAGACAACCATGATAAGAATAGAAAACTGGTAAAATGAACAAATCTCGCACATTTCTGACCCGTATGTTAACACTGGTCTTATTAGTGTTTTATATATGTTAATTTTAATTTTTCTGGTAGTTTTGGGGCCATCTGTTTACTCAAGCCATAATAGCACTTATTGGCAAGCACTATTCTTCTTTTAATTTATTCGCTGACATTGTAATAAACTCATCACATACAAGAAATAAAATTGGTGTTAACAAAATACAAAAAATATACAATACAGTAAATAAACCAAAACAAATGCAAAATGTTCAATTCGCGATGTAATGTCAAATATAGCACAAACAATTTCAACTCGCCAAATAATTGAATAATAATGTAGCGATTCTACACAGTAAACTTATGTGTTGTAATGGTTTATATAAGTTGTACTTTTCCCCGTGAAAAGATGGCATCCCGGATATCGCAAAAGATGTCTTCACTGATGAACAGAAACCACCAAGTTGATCATGGACATTCCACTGCATTTGACTTCTCTCGGCCTCTCTTGGTCCCCAGACCGTTACCCCAACACACATACACATCTGTGCGGTTTGAGATATAAAACTCAACTCTGATTTTAACTTCAAAAAACACATCTCTCTCATATGGCATATGGAACTCAACTCGCCCTTATCTCGCAGATGGCCGCCTTGGAATGTTTAGCCCTTAAACCACTGTGCAATTTTACAAGCAAATCCCAGTTTAAATATACGGGGAGAATCAAAACTATCAAAAAGTCTGTTAATAAATTACAAATGTTTAGACACAGTTGCGAAACTGCAACACTATAACCCTCTATAGCCAGGTAAATTTGGTTATAACGAGAGAAAATAAGATAGAAAAACGTATTTCTTACGTTTTTGGCCTGGCTGTCGCTATAAATAAATACCCTTTTTAGCTGCCGCCCGCAATAAACTTCTTCAGAAATTTACAATTTATTATTCACAACTGTCATTTTAGGGGGTTGTCCATTTTAACATATATGTATTATTAAAAATAAAAGTAAACTTTTTTTCAAAAATGCCATTCAAACAATATTTAACATCTTATATTGCTCCGAATGGCTTGACTATAGGAAGTTAATGTTTTAGAAAACTACATATTCTTATGTATGCACAATATTATTGTTGTTTGATCTAACTAGATCGGCTTATAATGAGGTAATTAGTCTTCCATTTCAGTTCTCCTTATGAGCGAGTCTACTACTGTATCAATAGTCAGTAATGTAAACATAACTTTTAGCTGAGCTTAGTTTATTAACTTTACAAGTCACATTTACATGTGTATCAATATTTATGGCTGGATTATGTATATTGAATTTTATAGAAAATAACTTTCAATTTTTACATGGTATTATTCTTCATTGCATTGAAACACTGCAATACTTGATACAATGATGATTTTTACAATTTTGGTTATTTATTTTCAGTGGACAACTGATCAAGATATAGAAAATGCAGTGCATGATATAGGGGTTACAGACTTCCATGAAGTTAAGTTTTTTGAACACAGAGCAAATGGTCAATCCAAGGGATTCTGTGTCATATCTTTGGGATCTGAAGGAAGCATGAGGCTCTGCCTGGAACTCCTATCTAAAAAGGAAATTAATGGCCAAACTCCTCTTGTTACCCTTCCCACAAAACAAGCTCTTAGTAATTTTGAAAGTCAGTCTAAAACACGTCCTTCTCCTACTAATAATTCTAACTCACGTCCTCCCCATCCTAATAATAATGTTCATTCAGGTCCTATGCAGAATTATGGAGGTAGAATGCCCATGAACCCTTCCATGCGTCCTATGCCCCCAGGTATGCAAGGTGCTCCAAGAATGCAAGGTCCACCTGGATTTAATGGACCACCAAACATGAACCAGCAACCCCCTAGGTTCCAAGGTAATCCACAATGGAATGGACCAAGACCTAATGGTCCTGGGCCCAATATGGGAATGAGACCCATGGGGCCACCTCATGGACAACCAGGGCCCCCAAGACCACCAATGGTAAGTTTTCTGAAGTATATATCTTCTCATTTTTGTGTTTATTTATTAAATTCAGAAGCAACAGAAAATGTATTCTCAAACATTTCTAAGATTATGCTGTATATTGATAATACACATATCCAAAAACTAAAAAAAATTGCTACATATTTTGTTTTGTAATAAACTAAGATTTTTATATTAGATATGCCTTTGTTCTAATAATCTTATATATTGTTTTATGTACAAATACAGTATAATTGAACTTTGTCAATTTAAAAAATATTAGATGTATCTTAAAGGCTAGTTATTTATGTACTAATGACAAACTTGGTTTTACCAGTTAGAAGTCAAGTGATATGTTACTTGATACTGATATGTTCAGTGCAACAGCAATGTTGATTATAAATAATATAGTATTATGAGAATTTCGCCAAACAGTAAAATGAAATGTACAATTGTATAGATATTGTATATGAAGTTATGTAACTGATGTATACATCAAGGTATGTTATTATCTTTATTCAATGTTATATTCTTATCTTAATAGCGTAGGCGCAAAATTTTGGGCCGATGCTTTTTAAATGCATTCATTTTTTTCGAATCCTGAGAAAACTTACAAATATTTTTTAAAAATTTAAACGCAGAATGAAATACTACATTATTACCGAGGACCAAAAGTCCCTTAGAATAAACAAAAAGTTTTTTGAATGAGATATTTAAAATTAAAAATCACACTAAATTTTCTCTTCTTTTTCACCCCTGTAACTTATTAAAATAAATATAGAAGTTTTCAGGGACTTTCGGCCTCAGTAATAATCTATTCTTTCATTCTGCGTTTAAATTTTTTAAAAATACTTATTAGTTTTCTCAGGATTCGAAAAAAAAATTAATACATTTAAAAAGCATTGGCCCGAAATTTTGTGCCTACACTCTTAATACACAGGATGATTTTTTTGTATGAAGAATCTTACTCAATATAGTGAAAGAAACAAAAAGAGGTATTTACAAAAATTGGAGGTAACTTTAAACTTCCTATTTTAAAATGAATTACAATTTTACAGGGTATTTTGTAATGGTGTGTCAAATAAAAGTTATATTTTTTAATGGAACATCTTGTATTTTATTTTAAATGTGAAATCTGCTTCACTTATATATCACAGCAATATATAGTTGTAATGTGTTAAACTAGGTATTTAAAAAGTTGTAACTAATATTACATGAAAATCATAGCAGGTTTAACTCTCTGTATAATTAAAAAGAAGCATAGGAACAGTCATAGTTTTTTAATAATAGTCAAAAATGATAAAAATTATTAATTTTGATAATATTCATTACATCAAATAGAATGTAAGTAAAAAATGCAAGTATATTATTTTCTTTCTCAATTTCCTTGTAGATCTTGGAGCAATTTTTTATTTTGGCCTTTATCTCCTTTCTAGTAATACCTTCACCCATTTCCTCTTGAGAATTTTTGTGTAATCATTGGGCTATTTTATTTTTATATAGAGATGATTTAGAATTCAAAAGACATTCCAATTCTCTATATATAGCAATAAATTTGATGGTTTTTTCATCATTCCAATGAAGCATTTTTTAAATTAACAAGTTTAAAAATATCACGATGAATTTTTATCGCCAACATAACAAATTTGACAATTCTCTACTAGCTACTGGCATGCCTGTAGCGCACAGCCAGTTTGGGGACAGTAGTAACTTTGGCCAAGGCCATTGTGCTAGTAACAGGCATGTGTATCTACGGCTATACAAAGCATTTGTAAAATATTTCGAAACATAATTCTGATTATATATTTGATGTCATCCCTTATGGTTGGAGGTGTTTTATGCACTTTCTTAACATATTACCAAAGAAACCCCATCTTTTACTAAATTGATCATTAAGTTTATCCATATACTAATTCTTATGGAACACAGGAGAACTATAATGTAAAAAACACATTTGTTCACTTATATTAAGTGGAATTCCAATAATATTAGTAACTATCTCGCAATAAGATGTCACCATTTATTTCAGGTAAATTAAAAAATATATGGTTTTTCTACTTTTTTACTGATGATAACTCCCCTCTCATTTTATCTTTGATCACAATAATTTTATCACAATATCTTTGACGACCGCGCCGTTATGAAACAACCTGTAAGATTGTAACTAATTTAAAAATGAGTCCAAAGCTATCTACTATTTTTGTAAATAACTTTTTTTGTATCTTGTACTAAAGCAGATCTACTGAGCCTCTTCACACTAATCAATCAACCTGTATATAATACAAAATGTGATTAAAAGTGGTGATTGATGAACCAAATGTTTATGGTGCAATATCAAAAAAGTTAATAGATTTAATATACCATCCATAGCTGAAACATGTTTGTGGATTGAGAATATTCATCTTGTTAGAATAGGAAATTACACAATAGGCAATATAAATTATATGTGGTTAATTATACAGTGCTATTAGCAATGTTTACATTAAATATGGCTTCTAAAATATTCTTACTGTCATCAAAAAATGATTTTAATAAAATTATATTTTTAACTTAGTGCATAGATTTGCCTATTTAAATAGTACTTTGATATAATAAAGCAGAGAGGTACAACATATAAAATTATTTATATTTATTAATGTGAATATTATATGTAAACTGTTATTTTAAATACTGATACAATTTTCTGAGAATGATACCAACACATTAGGAAAAGTAAAATAAATATAATATTGCAGTTTTCAAATCAGAAGATAGTTAGTTTTATTTTTTCCTGTTTGTATGGTTTTATTCAAATAACATGAAACTGCATAGGTGAATAGTGTCCAACAATTTTAAGAATCCCTTTTCCAAAACTGGTATGTATTTGAAAGTTCACCCAAATGCTATTATAAAGTAATTTGACTTTGAGATATTTGAGTAGTGCTGGTTTTTATATAGACCCATTAGCTAGGGTAATTGGTAATATACAGGGTTCGTTAGTTTAAAATGTTTACCCTAATATTTATCAACATTTGTTGAATTTTGTGAAGATGCTGAAACAGACTGATTTTTAAGGGAACATCATTTAACGATATAGATATGTGTTATGTGTCAAAAAAAACATTCATCCAAAAAACAAAACTAGGTAGAAAGGTTGAATTACTATTTATTATTTGATCATATTCTCATAAATTTCTTTACCTTTTAAAACCATTTATTTACATACATATATAATGATCAACATATTACCTCATTATAATGATAGCGTCATAAAGAAAATATGAAGACAGTACCCTGGATGTAAGCGGAAAACTTCTTATTGGCGATATCTATATTATTGTTTTTTAACAAAACAAACTCTTTGCTAGGCCTTAGGATGAGGCAAATATTGTAAGCCTCGAAACTGATCGCTTCTGTAACACTTTGCAACCTTTTTATCATCATAATAGATAATTATTATAATAGTCAAAATAATATTAAATTTACATACTTAATTTGATAGAAAACAGCAAACACCTTAAACATTCTTACAGTTCTAAGTTTATTTAAATAACAGTATAATTGTACCAACGCACACATAGAGCTATTAAAAGTAAAAATTATATTTATGTAATTAAATTCAACATACATAAATGTGATTCGTAAGTATTATTGAATCCATATCTGTTAAAACTGCAAATTAAGCGTCTTGGTTTAGAGGTGTAGATTGTTGTTACTTGTGAGTTTCTACTTGTTACTTTTGATACACTTTTGTATATAATCAGTTACAGTATAAATGATTTTGTAAGTAGATACCTCTTCAGCATCTCTGAAAATGTTGAATGAATTTATCACGTGTACCTAGTGTTTATATTTTACTTTTCTGTTAGGCGAATATAATTCATTATGTGATAGAATAAGCCATTTCAAACGAATTTAAAAAATATTTATTTAATATCACTGTTAAACGCTACCAACAACAATTCAAATATCTAACTTTTTTGCCAGTCTTCCAATGTAATTTTGTATGTGGCGGAGGAAATTTGTCATTTAACACTATCAAAACATAGGCGTTACATTTAGCTTTTAAGAGGTGTCAATAAACTGGATACTTTTTACAAGAACACAGCTAATATGAAAGTAAATATCATGCTGCTTGAATTCCCCAGTGAAATATCTGTCTGATGATGTGCCACCTTTTTGGTATGGGCAGGGGAAGGGGTTGACAAATTACAGATTTCTATATCATTAAAAGATGACCCCTTTCAAATAAAAATCAACCTGTTTAAGACTTCTCACAAAATTCAATGAATATTGCCAAATATCAGGGTGGACTTTTGAGTGGCGAACCATGTATAGATTCTTGTTTTTATGTGTTAATTATAGTTTAAGAATCTGAAATATAAATAATAAATTTCATTACAAAAAGTACTAGGTACCTAGATTTTATAAATATTCTATGAATAAAAACGAGAAACATTTCTTGTTGCTTTTTTTAACCCTTCTTATTTCTTCTGTTTTAAAACATTGAAAAGTATATTTATTTTTTGATGAATTAATTGTTGTACAGGCTTAAATTTAATAAAAAAAAACTATTTGTCCATTTTATGTAAATATCTTGATTTTTGTTTAGATTATGATTTTTGTTTTACTTTGGTACTTCTACATCTTAAACATTTTAATTTAGCTATTTTTAGTGCTTACACATTCTTTAATGCTCTTATAAAGATGTATAACTACGTTGTCAACCTTTGATACTTATATTCTTATATAAAAAATAACATTTTTCCGATTTTTATTCGAGATATTCTTTAATCATTGTGATTAAGGATCCTAAATTTGTTAATAACTGTTAATGATTTTTCCTTTTTGTTAGTGAAATTATACAGTGAGTAGGGTTGTTTTTATTGAAGCCAAAATGGAAATATAATTTGCTAACTGAGAAGTACAGTGTTAAGTAGCAAAACAATGGATTTCAGAAAGTGGTATGCGAACTCACATAATATAAAGCTAGAATGTGTTTTGTAAACTCTTTTATTTTTTGACTATTAGCTGCAAGT